CATCTTGGGTATGTTTCACGGAGTCTATTGAAAGTGTCAACGACGCCTCCAGATTTCGTAAAGTCCTTTCGAAGGATCCTAAATCCATAGGAAGTATAAAACGAACTGACGGCACATGGACTGACTCTGGACTAGAGACTCTTAACCTGCTAGCCAACACACACTTCCCAGGCTGTATCGACGCTGCAAGCAATCGGCAAACCGATCAAGTGCATCGTGATCATACGACTAGTGAACAAAACTTGGCTAACAGAATAGTAAGCATACCCAAAATCAAATGGGCGATAGATACATTCAAGCCTTTTAAATCTCCAGGACCAGACGGTATTATTCCCGCTATGATACAGCGTGTCTCAGTGTCATTATCCCCAATACTGGGGGAGATTTTCAAAGCTTGTCTGTGTCTATCCTACATTCCTGAAGCTTGGAGAGAAGTCACAGTTACTTATATCCCCAAAGCGGGGAAACCGAGTCACTCACTTCCCAAGGACTATAGACCAATAAGTCTATCATCCTTTCTACTGAAGACTTTGGAAAGGCTGATAGACATAGAGATCAGATCTCTAGTACCCAAGACCGTCATCAGCAATGCTCAACATGCCTATATGAAAGGTAAGTCTGTTGAAACAGCGCAACATGATGTTGTAGGGTTTATAGAGAAGAACATGAATGTTTCCTTATTCACCTTGGCTGCCTTCCTCGATATTGAGGGAGCCTTTAACAATGTCACGCTAGAATCCATTCATGATTCCTTATCAAAACTTAAAATACCTCAACTCCTCATAGACTGGATTGATACCATGCTTAGCAGCAGAATTATCAACTCGAGCATTGGGGAAATATACATCAGGAAATCGGTCACGAGGGGCACTCCGCAAGGGGGTGTCCTATCACCATTACTTTGGCTTTTGGTCATCAACAATATAATTATGGATCTAGAGGTAACAGGAACGAAAGTAGTCGCATACGCTGATGACGTCGTCCTGTTAATCGCCGGGAAATTCGTGCAAACAATCTCGGATCTAATGCAAGGAGCTCTAGTCACCCTATCACGGTGGGCGCGTCGCAATGGACTAGGCGTGAACCCATCAAAGACAGAGCTCGTCCTTTTCACTAAGAGACGTAAATACCCTACATTTACACCACCGAAACTAGATGGAGTCAGATTAAACCTTTCGCTAGAAGCCAAATACCTTGGCACTATCCTTGACCACCGACTAAGTTGGAAGAGGAACACCGAGGAACGAGCTAAGAGAGGCTTAGTTGCACTCTATTCCTGCAAGAATTCTATAGGCAAAAGCTGGGGCCTCAAACCGCACATCATCAAATGGATGTATGAGTCAATCGTTCGCCCCATTCTAACCTATGGAGCTCTAGTATGGTGGCATTCTCTGAAGAAGTTAACTTATCTACGACATATTAACAAAGTTCAACGAGCCGCATCCTTATTAATAACGGGTGCCTTCAGGAGCACGCCTCAATCAGCACTGGATACTCTACTGGGTCTAGGCCCACTGAATTTATATGTGGAGGAACAGGCATCCAGGGGTGCTCTTCGACTCAGAGAACTAGGTGAATGGCACAGTCAACCCTTTGGACATTCCGCGATTCTAAGGCGTGTAAGGAATGTGGGAGAGACAGACTTTGCAAGTGACTATATTTCACCACGACTAAGCTTCCACCCACCTGACATACACATACCTGACAGAGACACCTGGGCTCAAAACAACCCACCTTTCCGCGGCATAGCTGTCTATACTGACGGTTCAAAGATGGAGTGTGGAACGGGAGCTGGTGTCTTCTGTGATACTCTTAACGTTCGTGAATCCTACAAGCTTGGAAACAACTGTAGCGTTTTTCAGGCGGAAATCACTGCAGTCAAAAAGGCCATTGACCTGCTGGTCATGAGGAACATTGAAGTCAGTAGTCCGGTGACTATATATGTCGATAGTCAAGCGGCACTGAAGGCCTTGAGTTCCTTTACAATCAAGTCTAGGGCTGTTTTGAACTGCAGGGAAGCCTTGGAAAATACTGGATTATCCATCAAGCTCTGTTGGGTTCCTGGACACTTTAACATCCCAGGTAACGAGACTGCAGACGAACTGGCCAGATTATGATCCGAATGAACTACAATTCAAGTAGACAACTCGGTTAAACCACCACTGTGCCATTTCCTGCAGGTTATTCACAAACACTACTCTGAGAAGATCCAACAAAAATGGCTGGATGTAATTGGTTGTAACATCCCCAAACGAATCTGGCCCACGCTCTCGGAGAAGAGAACAAGGTCGCTGATGTCATTGTCAAAACCTGACTTAAAACTCGTGGTGGGCATCATCACAGGTCACTGTAAGGTGAGGGCTATGACATCGAAATGGGATAGCGACGGACGGACGACGGTAGGATCTGTCAAGATGAAGAAGAAATCGAGACAATCGAACACTTACTCTGCCACTGCCCAGCACTTATTAATGTGAGGCATAGGCTAATGGGAGAATTAGTGTCACATGACTTGTCATCTTTTTCTAACACTGACCCAGTAGTAATACTTCAACTAGCCAGAAGACTCAAATGGCTTAAGACGACACGGCAAACTCTTCAGACGTAGATTCTCACTCTACTACACTATCCCTTATCTTCACTTTCTCTATCAATCACTTTTTCCTCTATCTCTCAAAACTCTTTTCTAGGATGAACACAATGGACCTATAGGTCTCCGAGTGGAGCGGTTGCCATATGGCAATCGCGCGTCCTTTAACCTAACCTAACCTAACCTACGTAGATCTTAAAAACCATTTCAAAGCCTCAACAATGCTCAATAAACGTGGATTTTTTAACAATATTTTTAAAGCCTTTCCGATTTCTTTTATATATTTCAAAGCCTTCTTGAGTCGACTTTTACAAAACCTTATTTTTAATTATATTTCCCTAAATACATATTTTCAAACATGATTTTTTTAAAAAGTATATATATCCAAGCTGATTTTTTTTAATATTTTCAATGCCGGATTTTTTAAGAATATTTTCAAAAACGAAATTTTAAACATATTTTCGTACGTGAATTAAACTATTTTCAAAGTGGATGCTTTAATAATATTTTAAGAATTTTTAGAATATTTTCAGAAGTGGACTTTTAAGTATATTTGGATTTTTTAAGAATATTTTCAAACGTAAGTTTGTAAGAGTATTTTAAAATGTGAATTTTTAAAGATTATTTTCAAACATGGGGTTTTGAGAATATTTTCAAACTTTTTTTTTCAAAAAGTTTTAACTATAGTTTTTTTTATTATTATTTAATTTGTTTATACATAGATTAAAATTAGATTTTATTTTCAATATTTTCACCAAATGATAGATTTTTTAAACCCTTTTTTGAAACATTAATTTTTAAAAATATTTTCAAATGTAGTTTTTTTAAATATTTTATTTTTTTTAAATTTTGCATACATCGATTTTTATGAGTATTTTCAAAGCGTTGATTTTTTAAAGTATTTTTATACCCTTCACCTTAGAAGCAGGATATATTAAATTTGACATTCCGTTTGTAACACCTCTGAATATTTGTCGTAATTGTGATCAGCCCATATTTCTAAGTGGATTTATTAAAATGTCCGTCATTCGAAATCGAGATACAGTCTAACGTATTATTATTTACTTTGTTTGGTATTGAAATTGGAGATAATCGGTCAAAATTTAAATATAGCTCCCATATATATTTTCGTCCGATTTGCATTTTATTGTGCACCAAACGTGTAATATCAGCCTGAATTGTATGGAATTTTGCATATACACCCAAATTAGGCCTGAAAATAAGTATGCCAAATTTGATCGAAATCGGTTCAGATATAGCTATAGCTCCCATATATATTGTTCATCCGATTTGTTATTTTTATCCTCCGCAGCCGTAATATGCACTCTATAACAACAATATTTGGGGAAATATATCAAATATAGCTCAGAAATACATTTGCTAAATATTATCGAGATCGGTCCAGATTTGGATATAGCTCCAATATATAACTTCGTCCAATTTAACTTTTATTGTGCACCAAACGTCTAATATTTGTCTAAATGGGATGGAGTTTTGCACTTACGACCGAATTGAGTCTAGAAGCTAGTACGTCAAATTTGGTGAAGATCGGTTCAGATATAGCTGTAGCTTCCATATATATTGTTCATCCGATTTGTTATATTTGTTACCCAAAACCGTAGTATGCACTCCGTAACAACGATATTCTGGGAAATATATGAAATACAGCTCAGAAATATCTTTGCCAAATTTTATCGATATCGGTTCAGATTTGGATATAGCACTCATATATATCTTTATCCGATTTCAAATTAATGGTGCACCAAATGGGCAATACAATTCCGAATTTAAAAGAAACAAATGCTTCGGCATATTTAGTCCTTTGAACTTTAAATTATAATTATAATCATAGCGTGTATGATTAAATTATCCCATAAAAACTTTTAATTGTTATGTGGAGCTCTACTAAATTAGCAAAGTGGTTTACTAATATTTTAATATTGCAGCTAATGCCTTTAAAGAGTATGGTCAAGATCTTTTAGGGCCTTTCAAACCACCACTTTTTTTTACTATTTTCCCCAAAGCCTAATTGAGTCCTATTGTTGCAAATTTTTTAAAAATATTTTCACGGTCCGACTTCTAAGAGTTAATGAAATAAGACAAATTGCAACATTTTTCTTTTATTTCTGTGCCTTGGAAATCTTGTAAGAATACATTCAAGGCCTTGCTGAGATGCAACAACATCACATTATCATCCGCGTTTACTGTATGTGTTGAAAATGTATTAGCATTTTCTTTTTTAGATAGAAATTAAAATCATCTGCTGTCTTTGTTGTAGGAAAATTAATTTATAATGTCTTCTTTGTTTGTTCTTATTCGTTGATTCCTTCTGTCTTTCATTGGCAAGGACATTAAATATAATTTAGAAAATAATTGTATTTTATTGCCTTCGTTGTGTTATTAACATTACCTGAGCATTTGTACGCATTTGATTAATCGCTGCAAACGATGCCACACAATGTCCTGGATTTTGATGATGTGCCTGTGGTAGAACTTCCTCATTTGGTCCCGGTGGGCTAAGATCACTCGGCGTCTGTGTTGAATTGTTGCTGGTGGTGGTGACATCTTCACTGTTGGCAGTGTTGTCGGTGGAACTGCAAATGATGAAAAAAGGAAAATAATAAAAAAAATTGAAATCCGCAAAGCTTTTCCCAAGGAATCAAGAAAATAAATGAATGCCAAGATATTAACAAAGTCCCGCAAGGATAATAAGTAAAATGAATTGCTTAGAGGAATATTGGAAAAAGAGATAAAGGGAAGGAAGGCTAAAATTAACTTTTGCCTGAGAATAAAAAAAATTAAAATTATTTAAGGTTACGTTTGTACTTCCATATTGAACTTAAGTTGTCTTAATCTCGTCCAAAGTCTTTCATAACAAATATTTTATGAAGAATCTTTAAAGTTCAAAAATGTTCTCATTCCGGAGCCGACAATGTATTCCCACAACCATAAAAAAGTACTTGACAACATTGTTGCTGTAGCTCTATTGCTATATCCATGTCACGGTGACCATTAGTGCGAGTCATTAAACCAAAATGTTCTGAATTTCTGGTGTAACATGTCAATGTCTTAGCCATAAACTAATGCCGAACGTTGTTGATACAAATTAACATTGATGGATGTCATAAATTTTTATGTGCACTCTAAGGCCAACCTCACCCTTAGACTACAAGATATTTGAACACAAGGGTGTTAAGTTACAACAATGTTGCTTTACTATTTATCCGGGGTTTTTTGATTCTGCAAATATCGTTGAGCAGCAGCATATCGCAAAATCAATTGGTATCCATTTTATTTGAACGAAATGTCCTCGCCAGCAATTAACCTCAATTCACTTGTTTTAGCAATACAATCCGAATTACATTTGTTCGGTTATCGGCTATACACACCACAATCCTGTAGAACAATGCTCTGACTATCAAAGTCCCCAAATGGCAATCGTTGATTGTTGGAAAATGACTCGTTGTCGGTGGTGAGCCATGAAAATCACAACAACCACCATAGCCAGTAAAATTTTGGACCAGAGTTGCTGATTTGGGGAAATGCTCGAAAAGTTGGATGCTTTTTATGAATGAAGGGCAATGGTGAGTTTTATATATTCTTAAGACCCCAATGGGCACTACAAACGTGGATTTACTATTATTATTATTTTTTTTTAATATTTCTCCATGTTTAAATAGCATTATTTTTGTGGTCCTAATGGACACTGCATGCGAGGTTTTGTCCAGAATATGAAGCATGGGTTTACTAGCAAGTGTCCGCCAAATCGTCAGCGAAAAGTCCACCTTAAAATTTTAGATTCGTTCCACCAGTTCATTTTAGTACTCAAAATTCATAATTGGTACATTATTTTTTGAATAAAATTTCCGAACAAAACTTCATACTTTCAACTTTTCATAGAAAGTGATAATCGAAAAATATTTACTTTCGAGAGGCATACTAGTTAAATTCTTGCACAATGTTTCCACATCCAATTTCTCTGGGCAAAACTTTTTCCACATCTTTTCATAAAAAAAAAAAATTGGCCACCGCCATATCTAAGTCCTAGAAACCACCAGAGACCTAGGTATCAAAATTCAGGAATCATTGACTCAACGACAAATTTTATTACTAAATAGTACTTTTCGTACAATCATAGTGGCCTCCATATCAATGTCAGAATTCCAGTTCTGTCCTTACACCCAATTCCAAATTACCATGCCATGCATGTCCAATTTACCATATTTTTCGTACAGTTAAACCATGCATGTCCAAACCCACTTTCTTCTTTCCACCCTAGACACCAATAGTGACCTCTGTACCAAATGGCGCATTTCGATCATTTTGTACTTTTCGTACTTTCAAATTACGCACTTCCACAATCAGCCCTTCTCTCAACCACAGATACAAAAAGTGATATCCATATCAAATTTCAGGGTTCCAGTACTTTTACTTTCCCCAATATCTATTTCAGATACCAGCAGAAACCTCCATATAAAATTTGAGGATTCCAGCCCTAATTCTTCACCTTATACCAAATTTAGTACCATTGAGTACAAATATAGGACGCTTTTTTAAAACAATCGTAATATCTCAACATATTTCCAAGCCATTGCCAAATCTGAAACACAACTACCATCAGTAATATAAATATCAAATTTCAAAATTTTATCTCTATCCCTTCACCCAATACAAAAACAAGTAAAAAAGCTGTAAGTTCGACCGGACCGAACTTTTAATACCCTCCAACATTTGGTACAAATTTGACAATTTCAAAAAAATAAATAAATAAAAAAATAAATAAAATCCGTTAAAAATTTGTACGGTATATGGCGGCTATACGAAGACGTGGACCTACATGGCCCATTTTCTGTTTTATGCTGCAGCATCTATTACGAACTTCAAATGCCAACTTTGAAACGATTCTGGTAAATAATGTCGCTAAAATCATCAAAATACCGAATATCGGGGGGTACCGTTATATAGGGGCTATACGAAGACGTGGACCTACACAGATTATTTTCTGTCTTAGGCTGAAGTATCCATTACGAACTTCAAATGCTAAATTTGAAACAATTCCGGTGAATAATGTCGCTAAAATCATCAAAATACCGAATATCGGGAGGTACCGTTATTTGGGGGGCTATATGATAACTTGGACCCATTTACGAACTTAACCTGCCTACTGGCAAAATATACATGTGTGCAAAATTTTAGCCTCCTATCTCAATTTGTTCGAAAGATAGCGTGATTACAACAGACGGACGGACAGACAGACGGACATGGCTAAATCGACTTAGAATTTTACGCTGATCGAGAATATATATACTTTGTTGGGTCTGACATGAGTATTTCGAGGAGTTACAAACGGAATGACAAAATTAATATACCCTCCATAGTATGGTGGAGGGTTTAAAAAAGTACTATTCAATACTTTTCGTGCAACTATAGCATACATTTCTGAAACCAACTCTATACATCCAGGATACACATGAACAGCAAACCTAATACTAAATTTCAGATTTCAAGAACTATCTGCTCGCCCGATACCAAATTGTTCCAAATACAAAACATTTCCAATTCCATTCCTTTCCTTTGGTACATCTGTCCTGCACTCCATCAGTGACTCTCCAAATTTTAGAATTCTAGCTCATTTTTTGTACCCCTTTCGTGTGAATTTTCTTACCACACGCGCCAAGACTTACCCGTGCGACTTACCAAGACTTACCCGCGCCAAGACTTACACGCGCCAAGACTTACCCGTGCTTCAGCCATTTTGTATAGGCGCTGAAGAATTCATTAGTCACTCACTAACTTACGGGGGGATGTTGTGTTTTTTTCTTTCTTTAAAAATTTTTTGGTCAAAAATCGACATTCTCATGGCAACACTATGCAGCAAAATAGTGACAATGACAATGTTACAACAATGTCCATATGAATGCGTAAATGAATGCCTCAAGGGTATGGAAAGATAGCCATTTTTCCGTATACCCCCTCCCTCAAAACAAGTCATTTTGCGGGTAGGGGGAATGGGAGGCTAATGATGACATCAAAGACGCCGTATTGTCGAACAAATTGTCTGCTGTGGTTGCGATTTTGTCTGCAGCTCATGTCCTTGTCTCAACACAACGAAATGAACGCGTCTGACTATGTTGTATTCGTCATGCAACAATGCAAGCAAGTCCTGTATTGTCGTTGAGTTGTATTGAGTTGGGGGTTGTAAGAATGTTGTTAACAACATTGTGTATGTGTGGGTGTTTGGGAATTCACATACCCAATGATGACACAATCTTTGCCGTCGAAAGGGTGAGAGCAGAGTGTATCTCGATTTATTTATTTTCATTCGAAAAAAAAGTTAGAGATTTTCCAAATAAAATTTTGGGGATGTGTTGAAAGGGATTTTTGCAAACACTGTGGGGGGTTCCACATAAAAAAGGACATCATTTGTAAAGGGATTTTTGGCCTTGTTTTAGTTAACTAGAGTATATACAGATTTCATCACCATGAAACAATGTCGGTTAAAGGCTTTAGCGGACTTTCGTTGTTTTTTCATACTCACAGATTCGATTTAACCGGCAAAAACATGATGGTGCTTAATTTAATTTGTATCCTTTTATCCAGGTTAACTGATTTTTCGGTTTTTCCTCTAGCTGCTGAACCTTAGAAAAACATTTGGTTTGTTAGAATGTAGGCTTTTTATGGTGGTTATTTTGGTTAGTTAGTATGCTTTGTTCTCATCAGTCTTATTTCCATTTAATGCAGCGGATCTGAAATGAAAGGATGAATAAGGAACATTTTATTTATTTATTTTTTTTTTTTTACAAAAAAAGTTTAAACATTTTATTATAATTGAACTTCTTAATGGATTCCAGATTTTGGCCAAAGTATCTTTGACGTAATCCTATTTTGCAGGAAAATTTTGATTAAACTCACATGAAATATGGCTTTAGCCCCAAGATTTGTCTTTAAATTTCCTAGTGTTTAGGTAAAATTTAGACTTTTGATGTATTCTAGGACCTAGAGCCTGCTTAAAGGGAGTTTCTAACCATGATTTGATAAAGGAACCTAAACGACCCTTATGGTGACCTACTTGAGAATTAAAATATTCGGCCAAAATAATACCCGTATTGTTATCAATGATATTGCCGAAGACCCTATATTCCTAAAACATATGGATTCTAAGGAATCTTAATACGAAAATTTCAAAAAGTGTGGAAGAGGGGGAATCTTGACCTCACTATTTAGGTTAGTTTGCATTGTACAGGGTGATATAAAAAACTGCAACAAAGTCAAACGCCATAATTTTTAATTTTTTTTTAATTTTATCGAATGAAAGCAAAAAATGTCGGAAATAGCATCAAATTTTAGAATAAGTTTAGATTTGTTCGAATTGGTCACCTTTGGCACGAATTATGGCCTTCAAACGGCCAACAGAACTTTCGCACGCTGCCTGAATGTTGCGGTATTTTGGCTCATTCCCGTCGAAGCGCTTGCTTGAGGTGATCGACACTTTGGTATTTTTTACTGCCAACCTTGCTTTCCAAAATACTCCAGACTTTAGTCGAACGTTTTGGTATCCGGAGATTTTGGTGGACATTGTGCGCTGGAAATTAAGCGAGGAACCTCATTTTGTAACCATTCTTGGGTTGTACGTGCTGAGTGCAATGGTGCTGAGTCCTGCTGGAGTGTCCAAGGTCTGCGGCCAAAATGTTTGCGTGCCCAAGGCTTTAATACACCCTACAGAATATTTTCGCGATAATATTCGGCATATATTCTGATGCCATGGTCGATTGATACAAGCGGGGAGCGACCATCGGCTGTTATGGCGGCTCACACCATCACCATGGCCGTCGCTTGAGTTCTGGTGGCCAATCGGAGGTGCACATTTTCAGCTGGCCTCTTTGGCAAGTAAACACGATAATTTAGTTTGTTTACAAACTGCTAGACAACGAATATTTTTTCATCGGAGAAACCCGAATTCGGCAGTTCAACACTTTCGGTCAAGCGATACAACTTTTTAGCTCTTTTGAGTTTACTTTCATTCTGTTGCGGTGTAAGTTATTGCACTTTTTAGAATTTCAATGGCTCTACCCCGAGCTCATTTTTCAATATTTGCCGAATGAAATATTGCGAAATGTTCAGCTCACGAGTCATTTTTTTGGACACAGCGACGCGGGTTTCGGTCAAGTCGGTTCTTTACTTTTCGAATCATTTCAATCAAATCGGGCTACGCTACCAGTATCACGGTAACGAGCGATGGTACGAGACACAAAAGATTTATTCACATTTAAATGCTGGAGTGCTTTAACGATAGCCACTTATGGTTTTCCAGCCAAATATAAAGAAATCACACTATTACGCTTGAATTCCTTTTTTCCTAGAAAATTCTCACCAAAATGTTTTTGTACACTTGTAAACGATATAATGAGCTGTAACTATCGGACGAGGGGCTTAGAAATGACAGCAGTCTGAATTTGGTTGCAGTTTTTCATCTCATTCTGTATTGGGATCTAATATTTGAAAATGCTGGGCGTTGGCAGAGAAAATGCTCCAAAGTTTCGTCATCTTCCCCGCATGACCTGCACGGTTATTTTGAAGAGATGTTGAAATAGTTTTGGCTAGAAAAATTGGATGTGGAACCAATGTGCAAGAGTTTAACTAATATGCTCTTTGGTAAAATTTAAAACAAAAGATTTTGGAGACTTTTTCTTTTGCACCAAATCATTTTTCGATTATCCTCTTCGATAACATAAAAACTTTAATATGAAAATCGGTGCAGGTCAAATGTTAGTACGATGCATGAGTTTTTTTGGAAATTTTGTCCAAGAAATAATGAACAAATTGTGGATCTAAAATTTTAAGGTGGACTTTTTGCTGACGAATTATTTAAAGCTTTTACAATGTGTTGACCTATACTATCTATCTTTGAACATGGATAACATTTTTTTCCAGTTTTTATCCTTTCCTGCTCATTTTTTCAAAATACCTTCAATTTAATTTGATTACCATCTAAATAAAATGGTCAAGGTATACATCACACAAACATCCAGACGTAATCTTTAAGCATATCGCGCCCACTTGGCTCGCCACCAGTCTCAGGTTGCAAATTAAAGTGCAAATAGCCAATGCATTAACTAACGGAAATATGGCGAACATTTGGTGAAGGCCAAGTTTGAAATAAAAACTAACGGCTTTTGTAGTGTTGCATGTTTACTATAGCCATGTTTTAAACAACAATGTACGCTTGTGTATAAGTGTGTGTATCCTGATAACATTTATCACAACTTCCGTTGTGATAAATTAAATTGAAAGTAATTTATTCTAAAGGGGTGTGAGGTGGGCAAAACAACCAATAAAACCATATGCAACGCCTTGTAAAGCTCGATGGAAATGAAAAGGGTTGCTTATTGAAGAATGTGACGTTGGACAATGAATTAGATGCTTAATTTTATGCATTCCGATAAAGGTGAAAAATGACATAAGAAAATTGGCATCCCTCTCCCCCCACCACAAAATATCAATGTTTAAAAGAAAATAATTTACCTTATAAATAACAAACGAAGTATCCGAATGAATTCGCACAGCTCTATGTCAGATGAGAAAATGGACGGAATCGGTATCTTAAAATTTTGAATAATAACAACTCTCATAACATGCGAAACAATTCAGCTATTTTTACACCCTTCACCATATATAGTATGGAAGGTATATTAAATTGGTCAATCCGTTTGGAACTCATCGAAATAATAATTTTAGAGATAACAAAATATATATATTCTTGACCAGCATAAAATTCTAGGACGATTTAGTTGTTGCTGTTGTAATTATAGTAGAGTAGAACCGGATAAAGATAGGAAGCTAATATTTTGCACCTGTGTCTGTGGCAGGTCAAGTTCGAAGATGAGCAATATCGGTCCACGATATCGTATAGCTCCCATATAACGGCACCCCCCAATATTCGGTATTTTGATTATTGCAGCCAAATTTTTCAATGAAATTGTCTGAAAATCCATAAAAGGAGTTCCTTCTGAGAGGTTTGCTCCCTGAAAGAGAATTGTTTATATAGGTCCACTATATCGTATATCTTTTATAACGGTACCTCACTATATTCGGTATTTTGATGATTTTAGCTACATTTTGCAATGGAATTGTCTAAAAATCCACACTAATGTTCTTTCTGAGTACTTTACCCCCGGGGAAAAATTTCTATATAGGTCCGCGATATCGAATAGCCCACATATTCCGTATTTTGATGAGTTTAGTTGTTTAAAATTTTGTATTTAGAGTTCGTACTGGGTACTACAGTCTATGACAGAGAATTGTCTATGCAGGTCCAGGTCTTCGTGTACGCCCCAAAATTCGGGGCGTACTTCAGGTACTTCAGCCTGTGACAGGTCTTCGTATAGCACTAATATAACGTAACGGTGCTTCCACGTTTTCGACCCCAATAAAACGGCTACATTCGATAGTTTTAAGATTTTAACAGAATTTATAACGGATTTTTTTTTGAAAGTTTCCAAATTCGTTCCAAATGGTGGAGGGTATTCAAAGTTTAGCCCAGCCGATCTTACTGCTTTTTTACTTGTTTTTCAATAGTTCTAGCAACCATATTTCATCAAATGTTAATATGGGATATGTTGTCCTATTTCTTCTATTACCTCTCCACAAAAGGTCAAAATTTTGGATTAACAATTGCAAATGACAATATTTGTTAATATTATCAACCTTCCATTATTAGGCAAGAAGGAGATTAGTGGAGAACAGGCATCCTTACGAGTTACCTGGGCCTACAAGCTCATCTGCACAAGATAACTGCATATGTAGAGCATGCGGGGAAGGTGATTCAACTTTGGAGCAACGGAATTTCAAATATAACCTAATCTAATCTAATATTGAATATTTTTTTGAAGCTCGATGTCTTAATAGTATTGGAAGAAGTGTGTAAATGGAATATATCGGCCACTTTATCATATAAAGTGGCAAGTCGGAATATTTATATCAGACTTAGGTCGGGTTCGGTCCATATTTGCCCACTTCTTTGTTTTGAATAATCAAAATGCAATGAATATATATAAATAATCGGATATGGGATGAGAGTAAACCTTTATCGTGAAAACCGACGTTCAAAATAGCTGACAAATAATTTCGGAATATGGAAGGAAAAATTTTTTAAATTTTCCTGCAAACCCGTCATTTAAACCAAAAAACCTAAAAATTTATAGATTTTTGAATAAATTAACCCTATTTGTCTTTACTTCCTTCAAGACATTGCTTTCGTTAAACCTCAGTTTTATATCATGACGTATTTTAAGTTTATTTTCTTTTGCTTACACCCCCTGTGACCCCAATTCCATATTAAACCTCTTCGATTTAAATCCATTATATTAACAAATAAAATAAGCCATATGTCCATAAACATATCCTTAAGTATGTATTATGCAACTTTCCCCCCCGAGACGTCAGTCATTTTTACCCCACCCATTTCCTTCCATACTCGTAGTATGCCTGAAGGACAAGTCAATCACTTATCAGCCGGAAAAACAACCACTTGATTCACTTGGTTACCTACACTTTTGACATAATCAAATTCCTCCTCAGCGAAAGTATGAGATCACGCACACACACATACGTTCGAATGAATATTCCTTGTTTACAGCGTAGCAGACATAAGTACAAATACCCCACCGACACTTAACATTCCAACAAACACGAGTTAAGTGCCCAAAATACAGGGGAACGCCAAACCACAGTCAATTACAATCCTCCG